AATGTTTGAAAAAAATATCTTCCATCGTGCTAGATTGCCAGATGATTTAATAGTTGGATGATTTAACATTAACAGTTCGCTTTCATACAGCCGTCCTTTTTTTTTTTTTAATTCAAGTTACGACATCTTAAATGTCTTTAAGATGTTTAGTTAAAATCTAGAGAGTGTTAACAATATCACTTTTCAGAGAAACGAATTCATGCCTTTACAGATTTAATATACTCACGGTCCGATATAAAAATGTACTTATTAAACATTTCCAATTAATATAGTTTGCTTTCTGAACGAAAAACGGTACCAAATTCGTGAACACGAAATCGGTATCGTTCACACCTGAGGTCACGGTCCGATATAAAAATGTACTTATTAAACATTTCCAATTAATATAGTTTGCTTTCTGAACGAAAAACGGTACCAAATTCGTGAACACGAAATCGGTATCGTTCACACCTGAGGTCCAATATAAAAATGTACTTATTAAACATTTCCAATTAATATAGTTTGCTTTCTAAACGAAAAACGGTAGCAAATTCGTGAACACGAAATCGGTATCGTTCACAGCTGAGGTTCAATATAAAAATGTACTTATTAAACATTTCCAATTAATATAGTTTGCTTTCTGAACGAAAATTCGTGAACACGAAATCGGTATCGTTCACAGCTGAGGTGTGACGACGGAGGAAATCGTCTAATTAAAATTTATGTCATATATACCACGAATCGTTCCCGTTTTCCGGGAATCCTGAATAGGAAAGGAGTCTGACCGCACGATTCCTTGCATAGCTGCACGTAGTAGTGGAACGATACGTCGTGCCTGCTGCTCACACCGTGTCCCACAAGGATGATAAAATTGTGTCACGTGTGAAGATTCGTATCTTACGGTCGTGGAAACAGCTCTAACCGCCCTGCTAATTGACCTATTCCCGAGTCTTTACTAAATTATTTGGTAAATCATTTTCATCTTGCTTTCCCTTCGAGAGTTCGAGAGCAAAGCCGAAAATGAAGGAAGATTCGAAGAAATTAATAGAAAATAACAGTCTGCGATGTATGAAGTTAATCAATGCATGGAACTTCAATTGAAATTAATCTCAATTTTTCTATGCTATCTGTTAATTTTTTTTTTTT